GAAACATGTCAATTTAGAAGAAAAATCTCGTTTTTCGTTAAACAGTTCTGACCCTAAACCCTAGGATAAGGTGCTTTATTTTGTTTTTGTTTTGTTTTTTCATCTGTAGCGAAATTAGTTTATTTCTCAAAACTGCAATGGAAACACTTTGTTTGCATCACACGACTCACATGGTCAACAACCAAATGTTGCCACTGGCACAAACCACAGAGAAGAAGACGACAGGAAGTAGTTTTAGGACCATGCACTCATGTTTTTTATGACTTATTGCGTGAACAGGCTTACTTTAGCTGCTTCTTATTTTATTTTAATGGAAACTGCACAATTGTGAATTTGTGTTTTTTTTTTTTTTTCGACATTAGCAGAATATCAGCAAAGTTTTGTTTGCATTTGTAATGGAAACACGGATAGTGAAGTTGCTTTGGCCTTTCGTCTGTTGTTTGCTCTACTTAACTGTGCCTCTATGTTGGCCCTCAGGGATCAGGTTCAATTGAATTGAGGCACTTTAGCCATCTAGGACCAGATTAGTAAGGTTAGCAGTGCAGCCCCTTAATTTACAGTGCAGTGCTGCTCGTTCCCCCTCCCACGCTTCACACCTACTAACAAACTCAGCTCTGAATCTCTCTTGGTGACTCAGAGGCATCAACACAGTAGATCATATTCAGCCTAATAAATGTGTCTTCTGTACTTCTTCTCTGTCCAGTGACCTCAAAGAATTGCTTGTTTGTGATTTGTTTCCATACATCTCCGTATCCCAACAGGAAGCCATATATTTCTGATACTACCAATCAATCAAGTTTATTTGTATAGCACGTTTCAGCAACAAGGCAGTTCATGAACAATGATGCAAAATCTTCAAAAACATTACTGTTGCTTCCTGTTTTGATCAACTGACAGCTTTAATAATAAAAACATTTAGAACTCAGACAGTTTTTTTAACCAATTAACTTACAGTAACCCTGTGATTAATCAGATTGAAAATAAATTGTAACCGTTTGATAGCCCTACTGTCCATTTTTAAACACACAGATTGAAATTAAAACTTTGACAGAAGTGCACCAGTGTTTCAGTTTCCATGCATAATCTCACAGACCACGAGTAAAACTCTTATCTGAAATATTAAAGAATTAAATGCTGCTCCAAAAATGGTTATTATTATTATCGCTTAACAAACTCATGCTAGTTCAGTTTGGTGTATTTTCATTCATTCATTGAGTACAATCTGTGGCCACCATTTCATTGATGCAGACAATGTGCTAATGAAGTTAAATAAAGTTTTTGCAGTTATTTATGTTTCATAACCTTTTAACTGTGAATCAGTTTAAATATCTGATGCTTGTCTGAGCAGCCGTAAGTGTTTTCTCTCGTTTACGTTGCCGTCCCAGTGAAATTCTTTTCATAGCATGACTCAGACTGGTCCTAAGTCTGGGGGGGGCGGAGCCTTTTTAAGAAACAATTTCCTTTCCAGAGAAAAGCTTACAACTGCTTCCTGTTTGTGGACTGAAACAAAGCCAGCAGGGCCGAGCAAGCTCTGGCATGGTTGGAAAATGATTACCATTGTTCACACTGTAACAGAGCCGCACGGAGCCAGCGGTTCCAGTCCCAACAAGCTGCAGGGCTAGCTGCAGCTTGTCAGGGTAGCATGCGGTGCTGAGACCCTCGGGGAGGCTGAGAGACTCCTGGGTGATGATTCCACGCTCCTCATTCCACCTCTGCCTTGAAACAAAGAGCCTTTATTCAGAGAACAACCTCAGATCAAAAACAACAAATCAGTGATTCTTCTATTAGCTGTGAGCAATACTTGGAGAAGACTCATTCTAAAACCAGGATGGGAGGAACTCTAGTTATGAACTGATAAAAGAAAAATGCTGCTTTAAAGAAGTCATGCTAACATGATAAGGTCTGAAGGTCAGTCATAGAATATATGCCCAGAGCTACTCATTAAGGGATCAATGGCATCACACATTGGAAATATTTATGGTACTTCCAGCAGTCAGTATGCAGATGAGTTTTTTTTTTTTTGAAGGAACGTAATGTGGTGTGCTCTGAACTGGAGGCCAACGTGATCACAGAATCTTCCCAGCACCATGTTCTGGTTTACTATGGGAGGGGTTATCCTATCAGTACGCTTAGCAAACCTCTTTCTACTTTTATCATGGCAGCATTGATGTAGATTTTAGGGCAAACTGTCTTGCTTTCAAGACCAATAAATCCAATTTTCTGTTTGTCTTCCACTTTATCCACTTAGCATGGACTGCATCATCTGGATGGATTATCCAAACTTTTAACAGGTTTCCTTCCAGGGCTGTCCTCTATTCAGCTCCATCTGTTTTACCATAAACTGTGATCAGCTTTTCTTTATAGCTCTGCACTTCTGATACAGATACCACGGGGGTCTCTGCTGCTTTTCCAAATAATCCTCTATTTGTATATTTAGGAGGACAGTAATGACTCGGTAGGTTTGCAGTTGCTCCATCCTCTCTCTTCAGACGATGGATTGAACAGACAAATATGTCATGTTCAGAGCTTGGGATGTTGTTTCATTGCTAAACTCTGGTTTTTAAAGGGGCAGTGATACGTAAAATCAACTCTATTTGTTTTTTGTTTTTTTTAGCTTTAAATCATGTTAATGTTATTCCCTCATCAAAAGCATATCCAGAGTGTTGCTTTGATTCTTTCATGCATGTTTCAGAAATCCTTTAATCTCCCCTGGCAACCATTCAGCTGTGCAAAATGCCTGGTAGAAACCAATCGACCCTTTCGAGGACAAAACTCCTCTCGGCTCTGCAGTTTTCAAGCTCCTGAGTCTCTTGCCTCCCACTCAGCTCCTTCAGACTAGCCAGCAACAATTAGCAAACACCTGGTGGAACATCTGCTGAGCTCATTATAGGAGCTGCTTTTCCATACAACGATGTTAAATTCTGTGATGACATTCTGAAGGCGGAGCTTCAGATAGAACAGGGGTTTTTAAAGAGATAAGAGGCCCAAGGTAGGAAACTACAAAGTCAAATTTATTATAAGTCATTCTTGATGTACATCTAGAATTTATATAACTGAAGGTACATAGTTACTTGATTGTGCTACAAACTGATTCTATGTGGATGGAAAACACACTTTACTGCCCCTTCAACCTTCATAGAACAGCTGGATTAGTTGACTTCTATTGATTAATTGATTTCCAATTGATTTTACTAAGAGGTATCAGAATAAAGGTGCTTCAGCACTAATGTAGACAACTTTCTTTTACTTGTAAAGAAAACTTTTTAATCTTCCTTGTTGTTCGTCTTACTCTAAGGCCGTGTTGTCGTCTTAGACAGAGCATTCTTTCTGTGAAGGGCATTTGGGTTCAGAGTCTGGCGTCAAGTTTGGTGCCAAACCACATCGTTCATTCATCAGAACAAACTAAGTGATGGCAGGAAAGAAGAAAATGAAGAAGTAGAGGAAACCAAGGCATCTTGGTTTCTGTTGCCATGTGATCCGTTTGCCACGTCACTTAATTAGTGTGGCCGAGTCGCCGCCAACACTTTCTGCTGTCGCACCTCACAAATTATCACGCTGGCCGAGAGGACAAAACAGCTCTCTGATTTTCATCCTGAAATTCATCCCGCAAAGAATCTGAAGGGGTTTCTGGGTCCGTGCAAAGTGGAGACGCTCAGAGATCACTTGTGAGTTGAGACAAACTGCAGAAGAGCTTAATCCTTGTGTCTGTAAAACACGCTGAACAGAAACACAAAGCGGGATTGTTTTACACACATTAAAGTTTGAGTGCCAGACTGCTGTCCCGCTGTGGGCTCCTTTCAGCAGGAGAAAGTCAGATCCAGCCTGTCGTGGCATGTCAGGCGTTCTGCACACACACGGAGAAAGGGGAAGGAAGTTCAGGTGGAGGCAGCGTTATTCTCCCGTGCCTGAAGGCTTTACATGTGAAATGTTGCTGAACCGCGTGGACTGTCCTGAGGGGATTGTGAACACAACAGATTGACTGTGTACTGTCATCAGAACACATCAAAGCCTGCACTACAAAACGGGATTAGTGGCCTAGAAAGTAACTTGAGGATTAGCTTTTCAGAGTCATGAAGGTGTTTTAGTCATCGCCCAAGCTGGGATCAGGACGGAGATCCACATTGATGGCGATGGAGATCTGTCCTTGCCACTGCTGTCAGATTGATCAACTCTAACCTCACTGTTCTGCACTGGAAGATTGTTGTTGTTGATTCGGTTGTCGTATGTTTTTTTTTCATGTGCGTAACTGCTGACTGTGCAGCAAGTAGTCTTCAGGGCATTGAAGTTTAGCTGAATTGAACCGAAACAAGAATAATACATGTTAAAGTGAGATTGAATTGATGAGGGACTTGTGATGCTGGGGGTTTTATATCTGATCAGCGTAGGAGCTGATCGTTCCAACACAGGTCAGAGTCCTGGCATCTGAAGAAACTCTCCTGAAAAAAAACAATTATGCCAAACACTAGTTCTGTCATGGGAGAAGAAGTGTGTGTGGTGGAGGTGTGTGTAAATAATTTGGTATTCAACAACAAAGAAGATGCTTGGAGATCCAATATTAACATCTGTACCAGTACCGATGTTGAAGAATAAATTCTAGATCATAAGGATCGTCATTTCGATCCATTAGAGCAGATCTATTCAGTTTAGTTCTACGCTTTGTGCTCTGAGCAACGTCATGCTTTATCATTTATTTCACATTATATTTAGAATTCCTAAATTTACTTTCTGAATGATATGAAAGACGGTTTTCTGCAGTTTATTTTTACACGTTTGACCAACTCAGCTTTTGTGTTTTGGTCAGTTTCACTTTCTTGCTGTTCCACTCCTAATTGCACAAATGAACTTTGACAAGAAAAAACATAGAGTATTAAGATTGTCACGTTGATGCTCGGGAGATGTTATCAGTGTTTTACCTCAGTATTGTCTTAACTGGACCTTACTCAGATCCCTCTTTTCTTTGGTAAATTTCTCTCTCTTTGTGTTTCTCTGCTGCCTTCCAGACTTCAGCGATCAGCTCTTGGAGGTGGTGGGCCTGGAGGGGGCAATAGAAATGGGGCAGATCTACACTGGGCTGAAGAGCGCGGGACACAGACTGGCTCAGTGCACCAACGTCACCATCAGGTCAGCCGCTGCCGCCGTCCTGCCCCCAAACTGAAAGCCGCGCTCCGTCCAGCGGTCGGCTTCACTAGCCATTCTTTGTGTTCCAGTTCAACCACACAGAACATAAAATACATACCTCCCCTGTACATGCAGAGTAAAAAATGAAAATAAAAAATGCATTCCTTTTGAGGGTTTGTGTGCGTTCATGTCTAAACAGTAACGTCCTTCTAGCTGATGAATTATATATCGTAGCTGTGTGCTTTACAAAGCAAGCAGTGGGGACTTTGGACTGACAGGCTGAGGAAGAGTCTGTGTTCAGCTTCAAGTTCTGACGTCTGCAAATAGAATGGAAAACCACTGGTTACCCATTAGCTATAGTACCAATGGCAACCAGCGGAGTGCATGGTAATCACTGGCTATCAATGAACTGTGTTGAAGTAGTCATGGATAATTAGATAAGGAGGCGGAGGAACTTGATCTAGTCACAGATTATCTGTCTCACACGCTGACGGTTTTAACAAATATGTAAAAAACATTTTTTTTAATAAAAGTTACTGTACATACTGCAGCATGATGGCGTTTCATGCAGTGGCAGCAGAGTGATGGACAGTTTTTCTCTGTCTTTTGCAACAAACTAACAATTAACAAAACCTTAACAAACATTTAAAAGTTGACTGAAAGCAATTCTCATTGTTTCATAATATTCATAAGTAAAGTTTCTGATAAGGAGTTCAGAGTGGAGGAAGCAACACTGACCTACTTGAGATGCGTGTCCACTGTGTGTCAGCTAGTGTAACAAAGAGAGGACAGTGGTGAGGACATTGGTTAGGACATTGGTGAAGACAGTGGTGAGGACATTGGTTAGGACAGTGGTGAGGACATTGGTGAGGACATTGGTGAAGACAGTGGTGAGGACATTGGTTAGGACATTGGTTAGGACAGTGGTGAGGACATTGGTGAGGACATTGGTTAGGACAGTGGTGAGGACAGCGGTCTGTGTTACAGTGGATCTGAGGGACCTGGACTCTTGTTCAGTTTCCTGGACCAGAATTAAAAGCGTATTCATCCCAGCCGTTCTCCCACAGCGTGTTTCTCCAGTCACTGAGGCATGCACAAAAGTCTTAAACCAACTTTGGCTGTGTGAGTGTGTGAGTGCAGTGGGTTTGGGGAGTTTAAAGAGTGGGGGCCTGTCTGGGATCTGCCCTCGTGGGAACAAAGAGAGCAGTGTCTGACCCTGACACTGGGACAGAGTTAATAGTCGTCCCTCTGGCCTGAGAGATGTGTGATATCTGACCTTCATGACCATCGCCCACCTTTACCAACCTCTGCTCCCCACACCGACTCCTCACCTGTCCTCCCTCTGCTGTGTTTCCAGGACTTCTCGGCGGCTGCCCATGCAGATCGATGGTGAGCCCTGGATGCAGCCTCCCTGCACGGTGAGAGGATCCATTCGTTTCCTCCAAAACACTTTCATTCACAAATTCCAACCGCACTGACCACCGCAGGAAGCCCCTTATCACGATTTACCAGTATGTAGTCAAATGGTTCAAAGGGCTTCTCTCAGCCATCTGTTCTACCACATCAAAAATATCAAAGGGAATACAGAGGGGCATCAAAACACATATGTATGAAGCAGTCAAACATGTTAGGAGCACATTAGCAACGTAAACACATTCTTAGTTGGATTCAGGTAAAGACTTTGACGAAACATTTTCTTGTAGCTCTGATTCTGTCATTGTCCTGCTTTAACAACGATGGTCTGGCCCTGAGTGCCAGCCCCCATCAGGCCGTCCACCAGCATTTCTCTTACTTTAAAGCTTGACAAGTTATCATGTCGCTGCAGATCAGACTCTCACTGCATTGTCTTTCAGACATTTAGAGGTCAACGATCTGAATTTCCTTCCACTTCACAGCTGTGCGCTACATTGTGCCAGTCTCTCACATAAAACCTCGAATAAAATACATTGGAATTTTGGGGTTGTAATGGACAAAAGGCATCAGGTTGAAGGAGTATGAATGAAGGAGAGGTCAGACCTTTCAGAGTTAACATAGCAAGCTAATATAGCAAGCTAACAGAAGACAATTAACATGGTAAGCTAAGCTTGGTGTTGCTCTACTTTTGTCACGTCTGACTCTTTCATTCTGCCCATGCCAGGCTTTGACCTCCAACAATGTCATTCCTTCAAATCTCACAGCACATTATTCGTCTCACAAGGGGAAGTCAGTTAATTGTCACTGTGCAGCAAAGCCTCTCTCGTCGTTTTTTTTTTTTTTTTTTGCTGTAAAATTCTAATAAAAGATGACTATCAGTCTAGTAAGCTTGTCAAACATAGTTCAAGCTACGTTTTTAAAGCAGATTCCATCATTTTTTTTCTTTCTTTACTCCCTCAGGTCATCATCACGCACAAAAACCAGGTCCCCATGTTGATGGGCCCTCCCCAGAAGACCTCCTTCTTTACCTTCAAGAAACGCAATTTCAGCCGCGAGTAGGACTCGAACAGCCCGACTCAGAAACACACACACACTTAAACGTTACAACTTCCTGCTGCCAAAACAACAGCCGTGTTGCTGCCAGGTTGAAATTCATTTTTGTTCCTGAAGTTGCGCGGCCTATAAATATTTTATTATCGGAATGTACAGAGGTGACAACGGACAGAACAGACAGAACTCCGTCACCCTGGAGTCCAAAAACACCCTCTCCCTCAGCCACTTGAAAACCCGAGTCTCACATCAGTACGACCCGGCCAGCTGAGTTCTGCTGCTCGGTCCAGACGGTCACGCGACCATCCGAAACACTACGACTGGGAGAGAGGAAGGGGGAGCATCCAGGTGAACAAAGTGAGATCCTAGTCCTGGTTGAAGAACCCGTATGAATAATGAAACAACGGCTGCTTGTAAGAGCGCTCGTCTCCGGATCTCCCCACAGACTCTCATCACGCCACAGCAAAGGAAAGGCCTCATTCATTATTCACCGATTGCGCTTGCAGATTGATGGCGTCGTGGTGTAACAGTGGCCTGAAAACGACGGAAGCATGCAGGGATTTAGTATGTGTAAGTATCACTGTCCTACAAAAAGAAAAACCCCTTAGAGCACTTTCCCTGGCTGTGTGGACAACCTGGCGGAGGCTCCCGGCACGGAAAACTTCCACTATTGCTGCGATATCAGTCTGGACTGAAAGTAGATCATAGAGACAATGTGGTTCAGTTTTGCTTTCTGTTAGAAAAGTGATGCATGTGCTGTAACACAAAATTCCTGATTGCAGTAGAATCGGCTCCTGTGACGTCACTTCCAGTGACGTCAAAAGCCCCGAGGGCTGCTGAAGCGCGGGCCACTTCTGACTTTTATTGATGTAGTTCAACATCGACAGGTCAAACAAACTTGTGTGTCTATTGCATGGAGGGTCTCTGTCACTAGCTGCGTTTCCATTGCAAATGTGAGAAAAACTTTTGTCACTATTAGGCTAATGATGGAGAAAAACAAATTGCAGTTGAGTTCTTTCCATTAAATAAGAAACGCAATTAAGATCACACGTGAATAAGTTTGTTCACACGATAAGTTGTTAAAAAACACGCCACGCCATCATCCTCCAGCTACTTCCTGCCGTCTTCTTCTTTGTGGTTTTCACGAACGGCAACATCCTGTTGCTTGCAGTTTTGCAAAGTACAATAATTTAGAGACAGCCAAAGAAAAAAAAAACTCATTCATCCCAACGGCAAAACTATTTAGCCAAAAACAAGAGTTTTTTTTCAAAGTTGGTGCGTTTTCCATTAAGCGAGTTTATTTTTGAAATGCCAAATTATGTGGTCAATGGAAATGCAGCTATTGAGACTCGACCCTTAGTAGTTGAGTCAAACTTTGAGGGAGTGCTGCCAAACCTTCACTGAGGTACATCAGGAGTTAATGCCAGAAAAAAGAAAATTGCTTGAAATGAAAAACGTAGTAATATTAAAGCTTGGTTTGGTGTTCATAGCAAATGTATACTGTCCCAACAAAGTATATTAGAAGAGTATGTGCAGATAGAATATGTATATTTCTGGAAACTAGGTCTAGCCCACATATACTGTAAATGTACACATGAATGTCTTTTAATATATTGTTGAAATGTGGCAAATTTTGGCTCAGATCACCGTTCCACTGCTGCAGTCGCTCTCCAAAAGCACTTTTCCAGTCCGTCTAATCAGATCAAATGATATCATCATGGTGCAAAGAAAGTTCACTCCAGCTAAACTCTAAAAGTTGATCAATACCAAAACGCATTTTTTTTGCCAGGTTGTAAAATGATTCAAATCTCACCTCGAGTCTGGAAAAAACACACACCAGGCTCCACACTGTGACTATTTATTAAATAAAGATGAAGCTAAAATGGTAACGATGTGCATAAAAAACTAAAAGCTTAGTAGTAACTGAGGAGGCGAAGTAGCAGTAAGGCAGCTGCCAAGCTCTCCAGAAGTGGAGGTCTTAGCAAATTTATACCAGATTCTCAGAGAAACAGCTAAATGAAAGCAAAGGACCTCCATATTAGATCACGCTGTTACCAGCTTGCATGGTGAACGTTAAAGTTCGTGACAGGACAGATATACAGAGACTCAACAAGTATGGCTTTCACCGAAGGGCTGCAGAGAGAAAGAGCCGCACCCGAGTGAACCACAAAACTGACCATGAACCCCACAGCCAGAGGTCAGGTCTTCTGTCTGACAGCAGAAGTTCGAAACTGCTCCATCAACCAAACAACGACTCCAAAACAGCAGCAAATCCACAAAATAATGCCTGCATAGAGTCAAAGTTGCAATAGTCTAGTTCAGAGGTTCCCAAACTGTGGGGCACGCCCCCTGGGGGGGGCGCCGTGTCACTGCAGGGAGGGCTGGGGGAGGGCGGGAAGCCATCTGGATGAAAAAAAAACCCAAAACATGAACACTGTATGCGCTGGGTTTTTACCTTAGAATGGCCAACTCTCTGTTATAACTGTCAATTTGATACAGTAGAGGCTTCCACACTTCCCATATCTGTGTCCTCTGTCACTTTTATCATTAAAACTGTTTAATCCGTTGTTAACATGTTGTAACCTGTTTTTCCGAGCCGCCTTTAAACGCAACATGAGCGCTACTCGCGCTGGGTTTACACCTGTGAAGGAGACCTGCTGCTGCTGTGCGGAGCTACGTAAGTTTGTGTTAGAATCACGGCAGCAAACCAGCAAAACGCAAATAACTTTTCAGTTTTTCCCTCCAAACTAACTGACTGAGTTGAGTAAAGCTGTTGGATGCAGGTAATGTTAGCTAAAAGATGACTTAACAAGTACCTTATAAGCTACCGATGTTGGTGTCTATTTTCAGCTACGTACATTCATTTTGCCCCCAAAAAAGTCGATGCCCCCCCCGCCTCCCACGCGTCGTTTCAACCAGACAGCCATTTCTAATCCATAGGGGGGGGCGCAGAAAAAGTTTGGGAACCACTGGTTTAGTTGAAGTCCACACCTCATTGAAATTCTGTGAGATTTCAAGTCATTCAGGAAATTCGAGGTATTTAATCCCGAAGTTTCCTCTTTTTTTCAGTTTTAGCTTCATCTTTGTTAAATAAACAATAACGTGGAAGTTGTGAGTATATTTAATATTTTGAGGTTCAGTTGAAACCATTGAGGAATCAACATGGACAAACAGCACTGGTTCCCACAGGTGTGAACATTTACTTTAAAAAAAAACCCTGAAATAACCTATTTTTGCTAAATAGCTTATCTCGCTTCTTTAAATAGCTAAAATAAGCTAAATGCATGCTAGCTGTTAGCCTTCCACTGCTCTGTTTGCAATGAGGATTTACTTTCTTCATTGCAAACTCACATGATACATTTGCCTCTACTTAGGAAACTATTCCTGATGAAATTATGAACAGAACATCACTTAAAAAAATACAAATTAACCCTTTAATCTGCCATGACATTCATGTGATGTGAATTAGATGATGTGGAAAAGTGCTGCTGCTGCAGGGCAGAGGGAGACCGAGATGTTCTGACGGTCCAAACTGAGCTCCACTGCAGGGTTGGGCGTTCGATGCCGTCACACCCTGACTCCCTTTAACAGCCACTGAGTCCATGCTCAGGCCAGGCGCCATGGAAACCAGTCGGAGGCATCACTTCGGCTTCGTTTAGGAATCTGGGATGATGTCCATCAGTCAGAGACATCCATCTTAGCGGCCGGCTTTGATGCTGAAATGTTCCAGTGTAACAACAGCATGTACAGAAAAGGAGCCTGGGTGCCAGCTGGACTCGGTGGTTACAGAGTGCATGTTTACAGTAACTGTACATTTACTGAGAGAATGGTTTTTCATGCCTATATTAGAGTGTACATATTTGTTTATAATATTTTATCAGAAGTTAATTAAATCACTGCATGCCTGCTGAGACAAAGAGTGAACAAATCAGAGTGCGTGGATCCAACTGATCAGACATATCTCCATTTCTGCCCTGGGTTTATTTGTTGTGCTTTCCTTTTTTTTTTTGTTCTAGCGTGGAGGATAAGTCCGAACAGAAAAAGGAGGGTGCCTCCAAAAAGTCTGCAGGTTAGGCCAATGGGCAGGCAACGTAGACGTCCACTCGAAGGCCGACTGGATGATTTTCCCGTGCATGTCACGACTCATATCTGTTTCTGTCCTTTGTAGCAATCAATTGCCTTAACAAATAAACTGACCCACTCTGTGCTAATGGTCTTTCACAGTCATGTTGATCCGAACAAATGAGGAGCAGATGAGGATACCTCATTTGATGCCAAATGAGGTATCGGTACCTGCATGGTTCGTTGTGTGGCATGCTAGCCCTTGTTTAGCAGACGAGGCTGTTCACCAGTGTGATGTAATCTGCTCTCATTAAACCGACAAAAGAATCAAACCTGTTTGCTTTATCTGTGCCGCAGCCTTCCAGAGGCGGGTTATCTCTAAAGATAAACCAGCAGCTTCAATAGAGACGGAGCTCTACTCTGTCTAAAGTGCTTAATGTTGACATTGGTCACAATCACAGGTTTCTGTGCATTCGTCATGCAGGTCACATTCATTCTAGGTTCTTAGTGATTCATTTCTCCAGGGCAGAGTGAATACGCAACGTACATTTAGGATCAGGTTTTCTCTGATCCACAGAGAGTCGGAACTGCTCTACCTGCAGGTTCAAAACAATTCATACAAGAACTCCTTGACCACACTTTCTGTCGCCTTTCTGGTGTAATTTTGGTTTGACATTTAAGCTTTCCTCTTGACAGAACCAGTTCGTGGTGCCCTGGCACGAACCCGATTTTCGAGTGTAGCCTTAAAATTTAGAAAAGTTGGGCTTGGGACCGTTCCAGAAGCTTAATACTGGCCCGCTTTGTCCCTTCCCCAAAGCTAGCTTAGAACAGTTAGCTGTGTCCAAGTCTCAGATTAAAGGAAATGTGGTTGGGCTGTTCAGGAACATGGAAGCAACACTGAAGTCCAAAGGTCCACGCCTGCTGGTGCTGTCCACACAAAGACAGTTTCACATCAACATGGACTGAGAGGCTGTTCACCCAGAAAACAGCTCCTGCTCCAGAAGCAGCAACTTTAAGCATGGCTGATGTTTTTATCCGCTCAGATGGACAATGTGTGATACTTCATCCCATAAAGTGGATAGAATAATTGTAGAGGGCTTGTTCCAAATTATTTATCTTTGCTATAAATAAGCAACGAGATGGTTAAAACATGGAGACGGTTAGGAGACGGTTAGTTGTTTACGGGACACGAGTTGCCGTAAACAACTTGTGTGCTGTTGGCTGTTTTATCCGACTGGATAAAATCTGATCCAGTTGTTTAAAACTTCAACAGAGTCCACGCCTCCAGCAAAGCTGTTTATACCAGGCTAGGCCAATGCTTAGCCTGGTACAAACCGGCAAAAATCATTTTGCCTATGATAGGAAACAAAATCCAGTCAATTGTGCCGAAGACAGCTCAAATATCAAGCCAGAATTAGGACAACATAGGTATGATGTATTGTTTTAATTATTTATTTTTGACAAAATACAATTAGAAGAAGAAAGGTAACGTTCTTTGTCATGTTCATCGTGTAGGTGGTCTTATGAAGCAGTCATGGAGCCATTACTCACCGTGTAAAGGCAATTTTCCAGACACTAGTGTCACATTGTTTTGTTTTTTGTTTTTTCTCATTTTACAGCAGAAGTGCAAAAATTCATTACCACCAGTGCCCATCAATGGTGACATTTTTTGGTTTCATTATGTCGACTGTGGACGAGAGAAGGACCAACTGCAAGAACCCCATGTTCTGTATTCCCTGTAAAACGAACAGAATGCTGCTGGGGAGTCTCAGCCTTTCATCCATTCTCTCAAATCTCTTTCACCATCCAAAAAGTTGTACATGCTTCATATGTGTCAGAAGTAGAAGGTGACAAATGCATATTGTTGACTGTGAGCCAGTATAACAATATTGTGATAAAAATGATTTTAATGTTCAACTATTACAGG